TTTTATTATGAGATCCAATTTCTTTGTCCATTTAAAATGTTGCTATTGTGATAGCTTGATAACACAGAATACACTTATTGAAATCTTATATCTTGTATATTATATGCACACATCACAAAATTACCTTCCCTGATTTGCCATGTGACATTTCTCTGCTAGGGGCAGTTAAATTTCAATTAAAATTGGTATGCTTCTTTTTATACGCCCGTTTACGGGATGTATTATGGTAAACCGTCTGTCTGTCCGTCCGTCTGTCCGTCCGTCCGTCCGTCCGTCTGTCCGTCCGTCGTCAACATGTCGGACATTAACTCAAAAACGCTTTAACCAATTTGCATAAAACTTTGGTGAATTGGTTATATTTATTGACATGAGCTCTCTTTCGTTTTTTATAAATTATAGATTTTACGTTTCCGAGTTATGGGGTTTTATATTCATTAAAAAAAGGGGGATTTTCCAGTTATCGGCCAATAACTCAAGAATGCTTTCACAAACTTGCAAGCAATTGTGGTGAATTGTTTATATCTATTGACATGAGCTCCCTTTCAATTTTTATATATTTTAGATTTTACGTTTCCGAGTTATAGGGTTTTATTCATAAAAAAAAGGGGGATTTTCTAGTTTTCTGACAAAAAATCAAAAATACTTTCAGCAGTTCGTATGAAACTTTGGTGAATTGTTTATATCTATTGATGTAAGCTCCCTTTAGAATTTTATAAATTTTACATTTTACATTTCTGAGTTATGGGGTTGAATTATTCATTAAAAAAGGGGGGATTTTCCAGTTTTCAGACAATAACTCAAAAATGCTGTCAGCAATTCTCATGAAACTTTGGTGAATTTTTTAAATCCATTTATGTAAGCTCCCTTAACATTTTCATAAATTTCTAATATGACATTGAGAATTAATTGAACTTTATTTGTTTATAGTCTGACACCAGATTTACTAAGTATTGCGCAACAGCACAGTGTATTGCACAACAGCAAGAAATCTTTAATTGAATATAAATTCAATTCATATAACCAATTTCAAGTTCTTTGACTATATTTATTCAGAAACCTATAACATGTCAAATATTTAATACAATCAAAATTCAGACCTGTATCAACTTTGAATATTGTGTCCGTTTTTGAACCGACTGTTCAGGGTTGGACCTCTGCAGCGTATCCAGCTGCGCTCAGCGAAGCAGTTAATTGTTATTTTGTTGGTGTGTAAAAGGGTTAACCAAAGAACATTTTGTATCTAGATCTGTGAAGCACTTCATACTTGATTTGATTTTGATTTTTGGTGTTTTAACGCCACTTTTAAGCACCGCTTTTGGGCTATTTCGTGACGGCCAGTTTTTTATCGGTGGAAGAAGCCGGAGTGCCCGGAGAAAACCACCGACCTTCATACTTAAAATATGTACATGAATAACACTTTAATGACCATATAGAATTACAAAAAAAAGCATTCAATTCTTATAATTACATTTTTATGCTACAACCATGAAATTATGAGTAAAAGCAAATGTTTTCCTATATAAGAATAAGAAGATGTGGTATGATTGCCAATGAGACAACTCTCCACAAGAGACCAAATGACGTAGAAGTTAACAACTATAGATCACCATACGACCTTCAACAATGAGCAAAACTCACATGCCATAGTAAGCTATAAAAGGCCCTGAAATGACAAATGTAAAACAATTCAAACGAGAATGCATTGTTGTAATGTTGTCATGAGAACCATGTGCTGTCATCAATGTTGAATTTTATTGAGAAATACAATTTTATATGGGAATACCTTGCAATTGCTTTCAGCCAATCATAATACTAATTGTTATGAAACATACATCTAATGTACTGGAATGTAAAAATTAGTGTTTTGATGGTTTCTATCTTTGTTTGCTGTTTAAGAGGTTTCTTGTTCTCTACTGTAACAATTCGACGATTGCTGCCACCTTTAATTTTAATTAGGAGTTGCATTTATATTTCGGATGGCAACAATTGGGTTAATTGTATATAGATGACCAATTTCCGAACCTTTAGATAAAATTTCTGTCAGTACACCTGTACCTGCAGAAAATTATTATTTTGGTTTCCTCATTTAAATTTGGAAATCAAAACATATGACTGTAATCACTATTTAATAGTTAGAAGCTTGCATATTGTAATATAAAATACCGATGAGTAGTACAGAAGCCAATATCAGCTGACGTAAAATGTTCTTATTTAATTTTAGAAATTTTATGGATAGAAACTAATTTAGATCAATAGTATTCAAAACTATGGAAATCTTTTGAATGCAGAAAAATTCCAACGTAATAGCTTCTCTTTTATTAAAGATTAATTGCTAATTACGTAAACATTAAGTTAAAAAACATGATCCTCTTATTTTTAATGCTGCTTTTATACAGCCAATGACGTAAGGTAATTGAATTTCAAAAGGAAAATAGAGAAGTTTAAACAACAGCGTTTTTCTATAATTGTAATTTCAGAGATTATGTTGTTTTTCCACGCTAGGATATAAAAGTATATCCTGAAATTAGCCCCCCTACGTAATTGGCTTTCTTTAGTTGACTTTGATGGATTTAATTAGAATCGACTGATAAATAACACAACCTAAACATACTGTTAAAGGCTTTAATTCATTTTAACTTTCAAGTCGTCATGACAATTTTCAAAACAGATTAAAAGTGCATCAATGAAAAACTAGTTTTATTAAATGATTAAATGATGAAAAAATCTTTAATTGGTCATGGAAAATGGGTGATAACAGATTTTATTGTTTTTATTAAGATTAAGAAAACCATCATTACACAATACCATCAATTGATTGTTTCATTTTATTTTATAGATATATAAATTATTTTATCATATTTTGGAAGAATCAATCAAACTTTTCTTGTAAAAGTTAAATTTTGTTTAATGCATTACAAATTTGTTTGCAAAAAACATTAGCCTAAGAAATTTTTAATCTATAAGCAATATGTTCACATGCTTTGGGAGGGGAATAATTGCTTGAGTCATTCATATTTCCAAAGTGCTGATATGTTTTATTATACTGTAACTTCAGAAATTATTGTGAGGTTTTTATTAATGTGAATAATGTGACTTGGTGAATATCACAATAATACGAACTCCCATTTTGATATCTAATACATATATCGGTATGCAGATTTTCCTGAAATTGCAATAATTAATCTCTCATTTATGTCCATTCTTCAAAAATCGCAATAATAAATGCCACATTAATTTCTGAATTTACAGTAAATGTTTTGTGCTGAATGTAGTTATAGTACACATCCAAAAAGCAGGGTTGGTATTTGAGTAGGCTTTCAAGCTTTTCATTTTGCACTTTGAAATAACTGATTCACAAACACACCTCTTTTGGGGAGGTTCTTCATATTTATTAATAGTTTGTTATGTTTACCTACTGGTTCCCAGATATGATCTCCATGTTTCATCTTACAGAGACAAAACTTGTACCAGTAGAAATACAGTGGGATAGCAGTCAAAATAAATCAGGAGGGAGGGGTAGTTCCAACTTTTAGTACAAGCTTAAACTCAAAGAAAAAGGAGTCATATAAATGTTAAAAAACAACGCACAACCTAATGTTTTGACCTTTGTATGTGAATTTTCCATTCCAGTATATGATTTTTTGTCGAGGCTGCGATTTTGTAGCAGAAAGCCTGACATAGGGATAGTGATCTGGCGGCAGCGGCAGTGGCAGTGTTAACTAACTACTTGAAACCTTAATATTTTAGGAGGCAGAAGACCTGGATGCTTCATACTTTGTATATAGATGCCTTTAATATGTAATGAAGTTTCCGTCTGTCATATGTCCTTTGTCCTTGACCTCATTTTCATGGGTTAGTGACTACTTGAAAAAAAAGTTAAGATTTTTTGTAATGTCAATTTTTCTCTGATTATGAGTAATAGGATAACTATATTTAGTATGTGTGTAGCTTGCAAGGTCCTCACGCCTGTCAGACTATTTTCATCTGACCTCGACCTCATTTCATGGATCAGTGAACAAGGTTAAGTTTTCGTGGTCAAGTCCATATGTCAGATACTATATTTAATGTATGGAATGATTGTAAAGTGAACATGTCCTACTGGCAGGTGTCATCTGACCTTGACCTCATTTTCATGGTTCAGTGGTTAAAGTTAAGTTTTTGTGTTTTGGTCTTTTTTTCTAATACTATATGCAATAGGACAACTATATTTGGTGTATGGAAATATTTTACGATGTACATTACAGTCTGGCAGGTTTTATTTGACCTTGACCTCATATTCAGGGTTCATTGCTCAGTGTTAAGTTTTTGGTTTTTGGTCTGTTTTTCTTAAGCTATAAGCAATAGGTCAACTATGTTTGGTGTATGGAATGATTGTAAGATGTATGTGTCTGTCTGGCAGATATCATCTGACCTTGACCTCATTTTCATGGTTCATTGGTCAATGTTAAGTTTTTCATGGTTAAGTTTGTTTCTTAGAAACTATAAGCAATAGGTCAACTATATTTAATGCATAGATTGATTGTAAGGTGTACATGTCTGTCTGGCATGATTCATCTGACCTTGACCTCATTTTGATGGTTCATTGGTCAATGTTAAGTTTTCCTGGTTAAGTTTGTTTCTTAGAAACTATAAGCAATAGGTCAACTATATTTGGTGTATGGAATGATTGTAAGGTGAACATGTATTTCCTCTTTGGTTTATCGGACCTTGACCTCATTTTCTTGGATCATGATAAGTTTATTTGATACTTGTAGTAAAGCTTTATATGTAGGACTATCAACATATAATCAATGGTCAGTAAAGCAGGCGAGACATTTCAGCATGTGCACTCTTGTTTAATGAAACATCATTTTAACAGTGGCACGGCTTTTGTTGTAAAAGGAGTTTATATGAAAAATTGAATTGTCTATTTTAAACAAGAGCACCCTTTAGCATCTATCTGTGAAGATTACATAAACATAGTTACTTTATTGTAATTGAAAAGTTATGAATTTTTTCAGGTTTGAAGATGGCACTGTTCCATTTTTGGATATAATAGCATTGAGACATGGTTTGGATTCTCTCAAGAACCTTGGAGGTAAATGTAACACATTGTTTACCTTCAATAAACATGTAATACATGTTTTCAATGTACATGACACAACATTGTTTCTGGAATAACCTGTATCAGATTAGCTCAAGACCAAAGCTTTAGGAAGCTTGAAAACATTTGTGAGGGCTTAAAACTAAACATTGGAAAATCCAGTGACAAAAAATTACCTACCCTGAAACACTGAGAAACTTACCCTCGTTAAAGTCTTGCAAGTTCCCCTTGAAGATGCTTCTTCATATAGGTTCACAGGTAAAGGATTTGGTAAATATCATAATGAAAAGAATTGAATAAAAACAGAATTACCATTATGTCCATATATTGTTATCAATTGATTAGGAAAAGAGGCTATAAGAGTTTTGTGTGGAATTGGTTTTGATTGATTGGTGTTTAACACCACTTTCAGCACTATTGTGCTATTTTGTAGCAGTCAGGTTTTATTGGTGGAGGAAGCCACAGTACCCTGAAAGAACCACCAACCTTCAGTAGGAAAACTGACAATCCTAGTCAATTAAGATTGGAGTTGAGTGCACCTGCCATGAGCGGGATTCGAACTCACAACCTCAGTGTTGACAGGCTAGTGATACAAAAGTTCAACTACTTAGACCACTGGGACGCGGGGCCCCAGGAATTGGTTTGAAATGTTGCTATTAGAATGAATTCCTCAAGTACCAACCTCAGTTAATTTTTTTACTGGTTGTATACTTCTTTGGACCACAAATTCTCTGTACATACAAGCAGCGAGTCCAAATGGTGCATGAAAATTTGTTCTCGACAAAATCGATTGGTATGCAGTAATTATTAACACTTTTGAATCTAGGTTACTACACAAATTCAAACATATCATATTCTGGTGTGATCAATTCATACAAATACTTTGAGGAGACTCCTTATGTATGTACAAAAACATGAAAACCTGTTCTTAAAATTGTTAAGAAGTAGTAAAATTGATTTATGGAATAGTCTAAGGGCAACTTTCCCTGAGGGGAATGTTATCTTAGTTTTAAAACGATGAAATAACTTATTTACTGAAAGTTTAGAATCTGACCATCAGTGAATCCTCCTTGTACAGGTAGTCACTAAAGGGTGGAGGAACTATACATGTTTATAAAAACAAAGAGATGTGGTATGATTGCAAAAATAGTAAGATTCTTCAATCCTTTTAGACATTATTTTATCAATAACTGAAGAGGATGTCTTGCCATTTAAATGTAATGTGATTGTGATATCACTTTGACATTACTAACACAGCATCATTGGCAATTTTTACAAAAAGTTGACCATTTTCAATAAAAAAAAAATCTTATATGATATTAGCAACAGTCTTTCCCGAAAAAAATTTTTTGTAAACTTTTCTCTCTGGGAAAATATCCTTTTTTGATTAGGCTATTTGCTCCTATATGAATAGTAATGATGAGATCTCAAAATGAGGCAATGTTTAATTTATTCCAATTTTTGAAAACCATATATATATATATATATATAAATAGGCTTAAATTCTTGTGATTTATTATAGGTGGAATGAAGTCCATATCTAGACACACATTTATTGTGGCTCAGTACTTCCATCATTATCTTCAAGGTCTTCACCATGGTAACGGCCAACAAGTAGCAGACATTTATTGTCATGGAGATTTTTCTGATCCATCAACACAAGGACCAATTATGAACTTTAATCTTAAAAGATCAGATGGTAGTTATATTGGATTTGCTGAGGTAATGAAAGTTGCAGAAAATATCAAATTTAATTATTTGTAATTTCACACATTTTCTTGGTAATCAGCTGCAAGCTAAGTATTATCCAGATCTGAACAGGAAGTTAATTACAATGTAATCAAAATTAATAGGGAAAATAGCTGTGAGAATACTGAAAAAAAAACAAGTGAAAAGCCAAACTTTTATTTTGAGTTTTTGAATTTTGATTTCTGTTTTCCATTCAGTATATGCACATGAATTGTTGTGTAGTTAAATGATAGATATGTTTCTTAAGTTATTCTTTAATATTATCAAAATGGAAATATCACAGTTGGTGGAAGTTCCTCAGTAATGAACTCCTACCCCACTACGAGATTTAATCCTTATACTTCTTTAAATTTTTTTTATTCAGCTACCATTATATATGTGTAACGTGAATTTAACCCTGCATGTAATTATTGGTTACAAAAGAAGTCTGGTGAAAATATTACCCAGAATGCATTAGATTATGAAACTGAGGGTTACAAATAAACAGACAATTACATATCATTGTCAAGACATTTGTAAGAAAATTTTAAAAAGATATGCTCATTGCTGTTGAGACAGACACTAAAAGCAGATAGATTGATAAATAAATAGTAATCCACAAATATGCCTGGTATGAAATATAATGATGTACTGGTAGTATAACCATAAACAATTATTCTTTGAAGAAACAAACAATCTGTATCTTTAGAAAAATAATGAACATACACCACATACACAGAGACTCTGTGAGGTGAGACTTCATGGCTCAGGACCTTTCACTGATGGTCAAGATGAAGAAAAGTATTACAAATAAAAAATTATCTCATGAATAGACATTGCATTGCTAGTGGAAAAATAATTATGAGCATACACCACTTCAAATAGAGACACATGTTTTACCACATCCAAACTGTTTCTTTTTTCTTCATTTTTTTAGTCTGTCAAATAAAAATGATAAATGGTTAGTTTTAATTTGATTATTTTTGATTGCTTAGCTGTTTTCAGGAACTCTGAGTATGTAAATAAAAGGAATTAATTGTTATGCTACATTACTGATTCCATTGTTAATTTGTAGGTAGATAAAATGGCACAGTTATTTAATATACATTTGAGGACTGGTTGCTTCTGTAACATAGGAGCCTGTCAGAAATACTTAAGACTAACATCAGAACAAATTAAAGATAACTTTGAGGTACAGTGTTTCAATAGAAATTTTAAGACTTCTTTTTGAAAATAATGATATTACTGACAACTTATTTATGTTGCAGTATTACAGTGGGTAAGGTGTTCTGCATTGACCTTTTCTGGCCATTTCCCCATTAATCCACCAAATCCATCAGTCCATCTAAATTTGATTACATATTGCTCTGCTTCTGTGATTAGGAAAGATTCTATATTTGGTCTTATACATTATAATTTTGAGTTGTACCATGTGAGCTATTTTTAGATCACCTGGCAGTAATGAGGGTGTGGATTTGGGTTTACAGAATAGAGAATAATGGGCAAAAATAAAAAGAATAAGAGAAAAACTGACCAAAAAAATAAAGAATAGAAAATAATGAAGTGCTAAAAATATAAAGAATAGAGAAAAATGGTCAAAAAGTATAAAGAAAAGAGAAAAATGGTCAAAAAAATTAAAGAATACCTAAATGAAGGACCCCCCCCCCCCCCCTTAACCTTTATGAAACAAGGCCAAAGTTGAGCATTGTATCAAAATCATCGATTCAATAGCAGGACAAAATTACACTGAAAAAGAATGTGACTGAAGAGAACTATTTATATGTGTTCTTTCTCCAAAAGCTAAAAATATCTATATACTGCAAATTCCAAGAGGTAAAACACTAACAGCCCAGTCAGTAATTATATTAATGTTGTATAAATGTATATACTCAAGTGATCAGTTTAAACACAACATGCTTTTGCATGAACGAATGTGTTTTCTTAAAAGTAAAAAAATAAATCTAAAATTTCCCTAAACTAATATAAATTAGAACTAGCATAACATATAGTTTTCATACTTTATTTTGTATCTTGGTCTCATTGACATGATGCGCCATTACATTCATGTGATTTTAGATTGAATTGTGTTGATATTTCTGTAAAATAGTCATGTCACTCTGAAGATAAAGTTTACAATCCATTTCTCTTCTGAACTTGCAATTCATATTTTTAGTTTTGATCTTTCAGTTTTTGTTAAAATGTAATCTTATTTTAAAATAAACTCAACAAGTCCATTGACAGTTCATTACTTATTCTTACTTATTAAACCAAAGAAAGCTGCTACTGTTAATGCTTCACAATATGAGTGTTGTTTTGTCTTTACAGTTTTTAAGAATCAACTTAAAACTCACCTGGTTGCCTGAATATTTATAATTATAAACTCATCATTGATACCAGGATTAAAATTGTGTACCCCAGACGGGCGTATTGCCTTCTAAAGACTAAAAAGTGACGCTTGAATGAATGAAGTTAAAAAGGCCAAATAAAGTATGAAGTTGAAGAGCATTGAGGACCCAAAATTCAGAAAGGTTTTGCCAAATACTGATTAGGTAATCATAAAAAAGATGAGACTAATTAGAGGAACTTTTGAATAATAAGATTTAAATAATCTTTTTTTTTGTACAGGCAGGTCATGTGTGTGGTGATGACAAAGATCTTATAAATGGTAAACCAACAGGATCAGTTCGCATATCATTTGGTTACATGTCCACCATTGAAGACGCTCAGCATTGTTTAAAGTTTATATGTGACTGTTTTATGGAAAATAAAAACAAAACAACTTTTGCTCAAGATGTACATTCCAAACAATTTAAATCTGCTGTGGATTTAACATTAGATTCTGTGATAACTGAGGAACAGCCAGATGTGTCTATGGACAGCAAATGTTCTGATTGGTTGTCCTCTGGTATGAAATCTGTGATATCCAATGAAAAACAAGATATTGAACAATGTGATCAAACCTTCTGCTCAAACAAAGCTTCTGATCAAAAGACAGAATGTCATTGGACAAAAGACTTGCAGTTAGTTCTGCAGGCATGTTCACCAGCCAATCATATTGTAACAAATATTTGCCTCTATCCTGTTAAATCATGTGGTTCTTTTGAGGTAAGGTATTTTTTTGTATATGTGTAAACCTTATGCTACGAATGCTTATGTTAATGGACAATACAATATTTGTTTTTGTATAAATAATATTTAGATAAATGTAAAAAGTTTTAGATTACCATTTCCATCTTATAAAAGTGAAGTCTTGGACATAACTCACATACTGAGTTTTAGTCAATATATGTTACAATAATGTTTTTCGTCCTATTGATATGGTAATGCCAGGCATTCCTCTGTCATTTATTTAACCATTAGCAGATTTATCGCTTTCAGTTTTTGATAAAATGTTTACCATAAGCTTCTCCTCATGTAATTAAGATAAATCCTTTTAATGTAGGATTTATGCTTCTTTATTTTGAAAATTGACAAAATGGTCCTGTAATCAAACTAGCAAATCTCTTAAATTTTTCATTCATACATACATTTTTTAGAATCATTGACCGCCGAAGGTATAGGGAAAATTAAATGAAATGATATCGCTGGTCTATGATGAATGTAAATGTTGTGTTCCTCCATTAAACTATCAGAAGTGGCTGGTAATCTTGTAATCTGGTAACGTTGGTAGTATGTATGATTAACGTATTTTCAAAATGAAGTCTTCTTATGAAATTCACTTTGAAGTAAGTTCCAGAAAATACGTTAATCATACATACTACCAACGTTAATTTTCCCTATACTTTCGGCGGTCCAACACTTTACAGCATTCCCGACGCGATTGGGAGTAGTACCTCTGGCCAAGGGAAGCCAGTCGAAATGGTACGGAATTGCCAGTAAAATGTCGTCTATATATGGAAATAATGACGTTAATTGAACACAAAGTTTACACAGAACACAACTGACAATAATTTATTGTATAATTCGTTCCACTATGCAAGAATGCTAACACATGATGGCAGAACAATTTTAACAAACATTTAAACAACAAAAACATTGTATTTTTATTTTATTTTATTTTATTCTAATAGTTCACTTCCATATATACTTACTTTCACTTTCTTTCAATTGCTATTTATAACGTTACTCACCATAGCAACATTGTGACGTTTTAATTTTCTCAACCCGATTTTGTACCTCAGCATGATTTTATGTATTGTTTTATATCCTGATGACGGTGGCCTAGCCACCGAAACATGTCGATATCAATAAATTACTGGAGCATTCCGTGCAGTGTTGTTGCTACTGGACCTTCTACATTTAGAAAAAATGTTTTATTATGAAACTAAAGAGTCATATAAATAATGTTGTTGTTTACGTGCAGGTAAGAGATTGGGAGATTTGTGAAACAGGACTGAAGTTTGACAGAGAATGGATGATTGTTTCAGAGAGTGGTGTTACCATTAGTCAGAAGAGGGAACCCAAACTTTGCCTCATCAAACCTCAAATTGATCTAGTCAGAAAATGTTTAGTTCTTAGGTATCCAGGTATAAAATTGTTTATGACAAAACGATATGGGGCCGGTTTCACGAGCTATATATAAGATATATCTTAGGACATGTCTTATGATCCTCTTATGACTATCTTCGGACTATCTTAGGACATATCTCAGACCTCGCCTTCAAGCTGTCTTAGGATGATCTTAGCAAAGATATGCTAAACCTGTCGCAAGTTCTTTAGATTTTTAAATTAACATGGATTTTTGGAAAAATCTGCATCTGTGACACATTCTTCATTTATTCTGTTATTTACTGATAAATGAATATAGTTTTTAGCAACATGACATTTTTAAGCTGAAAGCAGCAATCCAAGTGAGACACAGGGGTCTGTGGAACCCTTTACTGCAATATTTTTGCAATAATTTCAATATGCATATGACTTTCATGCACTTCTTGTGCAGATGTTGTTTTTATGCCCCCGTCATAGCGGAGGGGGCATTAAGTTTTACCCTTGTCTGTCAGTACCGTTCTTGAGTTATGCCACTTTATAAACATAAAAATTGCTGAATTTTTCGTTTCCGTTCTCTAACTTTAGTTTGCCTCAACCAAATGTTATGAAACTTATACACAATGCTTATAATCACAAAACACCGATCATGTTTGAATTTTGGTGGTGTCACTTTTACCGTTCTAAAGTTATGCCCCTTTACAAATGGAAAAATTGCTGAATTTTTTGTTTCAGTTCTCTAACTTTAGTTTGTTTAAACCAAATGTTATTAAACATATACACAATGCTCATTACTACAAAACACAGAACCAGTTTGAATTAAGGAGGCGTCACTTTTACCGTTCTAGAGTTAATGCCCATTTACAAATGAAAAATTGCTGATTTTTTCATTTCCGTTTTCTAACTTTAGTTTGCCTTAACCAAATGTTGTGAAACTTATACACAATGCTTATTACCACAAAACACAGTTCAAGTTTATATTTTGGTGGCATCACTTTTACCGTTCTAGAGGTAAGCCCCTTTACAAATGAAAAAATTGCTGAATTTTTCGCTTCTGTTCACTTAAACTTTATTTTGCCTCAACTAAATGTTATGAAACTTATACACAATGCTTATTACCACAAAACTCAGATCAAGTACAAATTTGGGTCACTTTTATAGTTTTTGAGTTATGTCCCTTTATAACGTTATATGCAAGTGGGGTAATCATCTGTGTCCCATGGACACATTCCCCATTTATTTTTTTTTATAATGGTAGAAGAGTACCAAGTATTCATGTTTGATAAATCTTCCCTGGGCAATACATTATAGATGAAATCAAGTTTCATTGAAACAAACAAACTTTGTTTAAGGAAGATGAACAAGAAAAGTTTTCTTTTGTTTCATTTACACAAGTACTCTCATGCCTTTTAGATTTTAAAATATTATCTTTTTATCAGTGCTTTCATTTTTTTTTTTTTTTTGATAAATAAAAGATATGAACTAGGCATTGCTTAAAAAGGAAGGTGAGCATTGATAAAACAAATTATCTCATTTATAATTAGCCAAAATATCAGTACATTGCACCATGATCAGAAATACCGCAAAATGTCAAAATTTTGTTTGAGCTCACCTCTTTCCAGATCTCCTTTGCTCTGTATGGTTACTTTTTCTCTTAGTGAAACTTTACCATTGATATTTAATTCCATTTTACTTGACTTTTAAACAATTTGACCCATTTTGGTAATTTTGCTCTTTCAGATATGTGTTCAGTAACAGTTCCTTTAGACAGTAGTGACCAAGGTCAAGGTCTGCAATCAATCTTACCATGTGTTGGGAAAGTGTGTGGAGACAGGTATGACATGGGCATTAAACTAATTCCAATTCTTACATGAAAACAGCTGTTGATTTGAGACAAAAAAAATAGACCTTCTTTTACTTTAAGGGTCCCTGTACTGTAGGATAAGGTAAGGGTTTTTTAGGTTTTGATTAATGGATTAGAGTAAGGTATAAAGTAAAGTTATAGTTTGTTTAGTATAGTTGGGATCCCTAAAGAAAAAGAAGGTCAAAAGTTGTTTTAAATGGTTGGCATTGATATTTTTACTGGTATTGTTTTCATGTAATGAGGTTTACAGTATTAAAGTAATAGTGTTCTGTTGACTTTCAAATAGCAGGAAACAATAATTATACTTGACATTCATCCGATCCTTTCCAGAGCAAATATGTTGCATCATGACATACATTATAGTGGCATAAATGACCAAACTAGAATCTGCACACTAAAAACAATGTGTGTATATATAAAAAAAATCTAATTTGATTGGAAATGAAATAAAAATAACACTTTATGATTTGGTGAGTCCTTTATGATTTGGTGAGTCCTTTATGATTTGGTGAGTCCGAAGCACTTTTGTGGATTTACCTTTACCAAGAATGCTCATACCCAAAAATTTGAAAGCCAAGGATGTATAAGTATTTGAGGTGTAATATGATCAAAAGTGGCATGAAAAGACAATCCAATGAAGGCCATCTTTGCCTGAGGAAAGTCATATTCCCTAAATCAGAGGAGGGTATCTAACAGTCACATGTTATCATCTGCTACCTCCTGGGAAAGGAATTATCCAATGATAGCATCTAGAGGCAGTAAACAAATTGTCTTAAATAGAGGTATTGTGAAAAAGCTAGCAAAATGATACCACTGTACTTGATTTAATGTCAAGATTTATATTAATTATCTCCCCTACCATAAGTTAGACTGGATATATACAAACTCATTCTCATTTTCAGGTGCTTTAATACTTAAGACAGAGTGACAAACAAATAACAAAGCATCTTTATATGGTGCTAGGGGCCGTCTTAATCTTTGCAGTGAGGTGAGAGTTTTTTGCTCCATGTTTAAGGCCTCACTGTGACTTTCAGATGAAGAACAGCAATAAAAGCACTGTTCCTTTGCTTTTTGTGTGTTCTTTGCTGTGCATAACTAATTTTGTGTCATGGATGGATATCCCATATCCTTTGTTTTTCTATTATACTGAAAAAGAAACACAATATAATTGTTTGAATTTCTCATGTTAGCACCAATATTGAGTTTATCAAATTGATGTCTGTTGATGAGTAGTAGATCTTGATATTTGTTTTACAAACAGAGTTACTGGTGTAGATTGTGGAGATACAGTGGGACAGTGGATCAGTGACGTTTTAGATAAACCAAGATGTAGACTTATCCAGCAAGATAAAACAAGGTCAAGAAAGTGTAAACTGGATAAAACATCTAATGGTAAATAATTAAGAAGATTATTAATTAAGTTAACTCATGGTGTTTGGTTGCTTCCTCATTGATTAAAAAGTGTAAATTTTCAAACATTTTTTTCTGAATTCATTTTTGTCGAGCCTGCGACTTTTGTTGCAAAAGCGAGACATAGCGATCCTACATTCCGTCGGCGGCGTCCACAAATATTCACCCTGTGGTTAAAGTTTTTGAAAATTTAATAACTTTCTTAAACTATCCTGCATTTCAACCAAACTTGGACAGAAGCTTGTTTATGATCATAAGATAGTATCCAGAAGAAAATTTTGTAAAAAAAAATCCCGTTTATCCGTATTTCACTTATAAATGGACTTAGTTTTTCTGCCAGTTAACATTACATTGACTCTGTGGTTAAAGCTTTCAAAATTTTAATAACTTTCTTAAACTATCCTGGATTTGTACCACACTTGGACAGAAGCTTCTTTATGATCAAAAGCTAGTATCTAGAAGGAAATTTTGTAAAAATTTATTTCCTGTTTTTCCGTATATTACTTATAGATGGACTTAGTTTTAGTCCAGTTAACATTGCATACAGTCTGCAGTTAAAGTTTATAAAACATTTATTAGATTCATAAACCTTCTTGGATTTTTACCAAACTTGAACAGAAATTCTTACAATCAAAAGATAGTATCTAGAGGAAAAACTTTTAATAATTTTTTCCCCTTTTTTGTTGAGCCTGCGACTAACAGCAAAAGTAGGCGAGACACTGGGTTCCGCAGAACCCTTACGAATTTTATATGTGATTGACATGTTTTTTGGGTCTTTTTTTATATAACAGAAATGTTATTTGGTTGAAAAATTATCTTTCCTATTTTTGTTATAAATCACTTTTTAAAATTCCTCATCAGAGGAACACAATCTTCATATTTTTGTTGCTTAAATTTGCATATACAAATGCATGTGCTCTTTATTAATTTTCATCAGTACCTATTTCATGTTTTGTTGAATTCTGGATCTTGTGTATATACACTTTGGATTCATTTATTTTATGGCACACAATTTGATTGGTGAAAATTTGTATATTTGTGGATACTTAATACTAGAGTTACAGCAAATGAGAAGGGTGTAATATGGCCCTTATTTGGCCCAAATATAAATCTTAGTGCCCAAAATTTATAATGAAGTCACAGTATAGGCCCATTGTGACAAAACAACTATCTAAAGAAAAAAAAATGTTGTGTGGGTCTTTCAATTAAAAAAAAACGACTTACAATGAAATAAATCATGAGAGCAGTCTTTCATGTCAGATACATCATAACTGCATTTGATTACATAAATACACCATTCACAAACATAACTACACTCAAAGACATCAAAAGTGAACATATTCAACTTCAAACATCACAACAGAAATCTGCTTTATTTCTGTTAAGATTTAAAGGTTGCACATTCAATAGGTATGCTCTGTATAAATAATTAAATGCATTTTTATTTTTCAGATACAGAAAATGTTTCCAAACTTTCCTTAGCCAATGAGTCCCAATATCTACTGATATGTAGACAGAGTGTTGAAGATTTACAACAGAGAATTCAACAGAAAGGGGAATATCCTCATTTTGGTATTTAGCTAAACCAGCTGTTTTTTAAATGTCAAACTTTAAGCTACAGAAATTCCTGCAAAATATGAAAGATTTCCAAATTATGGAAGTGGAAAAATAATAACAAACATTACGAGACAGAAGAATGGTCATTAAAAACTTTGAAATTCTGAACACATAAAAGTATTTGTAGTAAAAGGGTATGGTCATTAAACTTAACATGTAGATTTTTATCGATCTTGAAATATGATTATTGGGTATGTGGGAGAATCTATCCTTCTTTTGTTTTTTAATTTTCACACTTTTTTTTCAGATCTGCTCAAGTTTGTGCTTTGCTTTACAGGTCTCTGATTTATTAATATAAATTAGTGCAAATTGAGATTGAAGTGCAGTTTTTGTCAGAATTCTTTGCCAAATATATTTTTCAGAGCACATGGTCAACATCTAGCAAAGTATTACACACATCAGGAAATTTCAGTATTGTGTGAACTTTTTCTCTATGTTGTGACTTTAAGATGAAGCACAAAGAATTATTTTTTTACAAGAAAAAAAAATAAAACTGACTAATTTTCCATATACAGAACTGGAGAACCTGTTAAACAGATTCCGTGGTAATATTATTATTGGTGGTGGCTTGTCTTTTGAAGAAGACAGTTGGGCAACAGTTTATATTGGAAATAGCAAATTCTTGGTAATTTAATATTTAATCCATTGTGCTAATAAGCTAAGAACTTGCATGATTGTTATACACTAGCCTTTAATAGTATCAGCACTTGCTATACCCCAGCCTTCCAGGCGGTGAAATATAGTGATGCACAAATGAAAAAAGGAGGTGTAAGGTAAACGTAAATGAGAAAGCAACCTAACAACAAAAATAAGCAATACACATCTTAAGGGCAACATACTGTCTTCAACAATAGATATGTGTCTACATAATAGGTCCGGCTTTAAACTATCCGGAGTCTATTAAAGCTGTGAATAAAAATGGAAAAAATCAAAGATCTCCCATTAAAACTTTATACCCAACAAAGAGACACATGAATATTGTTTGTCTGTCTGTCCAGCACACTTTTGATGTCTTGATGATGATTAAAAAAAAACCATGACTAAAATAGTTTGGAATTTTAATACAATGTCATTGACCATAAAGTACAGGTCAAGTTTGATTTGATGGTTTTGGCATTTACAGGTTAAGAGCTATGCCCCTACTTTCCCTTAAAATTTGGAATTTTTATGGTTTTCAGGTGATAGTAAAAAGACCATATGACAAAATCTTTCTTGATTTTAGTACAATGTCATTAACCATAAAATACAGGTCAAGTTCGATTTTAAAGATTTATAAATTCAAGCAAAAAATTATATACCTCAGACTATATCCAATATGATATTCTTGATTGGTAAATCCTTGTCATTTAAAAGTCATTTAGGTGTAATACCACCAAATCATAGTACGTCACATCCGGTTGCATACGAAAATAGGTCGAAAACAAATATTCCCTTGAATTTGACAGTTGTAGGTAATTGATCCTACATTTCATTGCAGTAAAACATTTCTGGGTCATAAACATATATCTTGGGTATTTCAAAGCACCATTATTATTTTATTTGGGGTTTCTATAGAATATTTTGGCAACTTGAGGTTACATGGTTACTAAAGCTTGTACACAGGTTAAAAAAGGGGGAAAATTTGATTGGTTAGCTTCCAGTGATGGTTATTTTCTTATATGCAATGAAATGTTATGTGAAATTTTTTCTATAGTACTGGACAGGATAAAACTTTACACATGCCAAGTATTTCTTTATTTGAAACAAAGATAAATTCTGCACAATTTTTTGAAAAGTGCAAATTTAACAAAGACTAATAGGGGAAAATCAATGGTGGTATTACACCTAATATGGGAAGCTGTACATGCACCTTTGACCTTGTGAGTACTCTCATGTGTTAAAATTTCTTGCTATTTAAGTTAAATATTACAAATAATGAAATATTCTGAGTGGATTGAGTCTCCAAAACACATTTTATGAGAAAATTTCCTTGAAATAGGACTTTACCATGAATATTAGTTGACAGAACAAGCCATACTTAGAGCTTTGGGGAGCTTTTTCTCCTTATTTCTTATATTCTGCTATACTAGAAATTTTTTCCTAAGAAATACTTTAATAAATATATAGTTTTAAGTAAATGAAATTATTTTTAAAGCAGTAACAACACATTATTCACCAAAAGAGAAGCTTTTTATGTCCCTCTCTGGAACGCGGCGTAAATTTAAGTTTTACGTAAGGACTTATCGAAACCTCCTTGGAGACAGTAAACTTTTATACGGATAGTTTGTTCAGCTTGAATACTTCAATTAATCATTTATTATAACATTTCTATCATAAATGAGTGAAAGTTACCCTAAAATTTTTATTTATTGGCCTAAAAAGTAGAAATTTTGAGGAAATGAGAGGTATAAATGGACCAAAAGAGACCTTATAAGGAAGACAAAGAGGTCCATTAGTAGTATTTATCATCCTAAAGTCATCTTTTGTATCATATTCAACTGTTTGTAGGCAGATGAGATAAATGTTTGATCATTTATTGGTCCACACTATATTCTATCATGATGCGGCTTGGTTTGAATTTTTCGAAGAAATTTTGCTCGAATCGCTGTAGATGTCATCTTACATTATACTAGATTTTTCTCAAACTATTGAACTGATTATGACAAAACTTGACAGGAATGCTTGAAATAACCAGTATTACAAAGGAAAAAAGTCACATTAAGTTTATTTAACAAAAAAGTCTTCTTTAGGTGTAATACCACCAAATCATAGTACGTCACATCCGGTTGCATACGAAAATAGGTCGAAAAAAAATATTCCCTTGAATTTGACAGTTGTAGGTAATTGATCCTACATTTCATTGCAGTAAAACATTTCTGGGTCATAAACATATATCTTGGGTATTTCAAAGCACCATTATTATTTTATTTGGGGTTTCTATAGAATATTTTGGAAACTTGAGGTTACATGGTTACTAAAGCTTGTACACAGGTTAAAAAAGGGGGAAAATTTGATTGGTTAGCTTCCAGTGATGGTTATTTTCTTATATGCAATGAAATGTTATGTGAAATTTTTTCTATAGTACTGGACAGGATAAAACTTTACACATGCCAAGTATTTCTTTATTTGAAACAAAGATAAATTCTGCACAATTTTTTGAAAAGTGCAAATTTAACAAAGACTAATAGGGGAAAATCAATGGTGGTATTACACCTAATATGGGAAGCTGTACATGCACCTTTGACCTTGTGAGTACTCTCATGTGTTAAAATTTCTTGCTATTTAAGTTAAATATTACAAATAATGAAATATTCTGAGTGGATTGAGTCTCCAAAACACATTTTATGAGAAAATTTCCTTGAAATAGGACTTTACCATGAATATTAGTTGACAGAACAAGCCATACTTAGAGCTTTGGGGAGCTTTTTCTCCTTATTTCTTATATTCTGCTATACTAGAAATTTTTTCCTAAGAAATACTTTAATAAATATATAGTTTTAAGTAAATGAAATTATTTTTAAAGCAGTAACAACACATTATTCACCAAAAGAGAAGCTTTTTATGTCCCTCTCTGGAACGCGGCGTAAATTTAAGTTTTACGTAAGGACTTATCGAAACCTCCTTGGAGACAGTAAACTTTTATACGGATAGTTTGTTCAGCTTGAATACTTCAATTAATCATTTATTATAACATTTCTATCATAAATGAGTGAAAGTTACCCTAAAATTTTTATTTATTGGCCTAAAAAGTAGAAATTTTGAGGAAATGAGAGGTATAAATGGACCAAAAGAGACCTTATAAGGAAGACAAAGAGGTCCATTAGTAGTATTTATCATCCTAAAGTCATCTTTTGTATCATATTCAACTGTTTGTAGGCAGATGAGATAAATGTTTGATCATTTATTGGTCCACACTATATTCTATCATGATGCGGCTTGGTTTGAATTTTTCGAAGAAATTTTGCTCGAATCGCTGTAGATGTCATCTTACATTATACTAGATTTTTCTCAAACTATTGAACTGATTATGACAAAACTTGACAGGAATGCTTGAAATAACCAGTATTACAAAGGAAAAAAGTCACATTAAGTTTATTTAACAAAAAAGTCTTCTTTAGGTGTAATACCACCAAATCATAGTACGTCACATCCGGTTGCATACGAAAATAGGTCGAAAAAAAATATTCCCTTGAATTTGACAGTTGTAGGTAATTGATCCTACATTTCATTGCAGTAAAACATTTCTGGGTCATAAACATATATCTTGGGTATTTCAAAGCACCATTATTATTTTATTTGGGGTTTCTATAGAATATTTTGGAAACTTGAGGTTACATGGTTACTAAAGCTTGTACACAGGTTAAAAAAGGGGGAAAATTTGATTGGTTAGCTTCCAGTGATGGTTATTTTCTTATATGCAATGAAATGTTATGTGAAATTTTTTCTATAGTACTGGACAGGATAAAACTTTACACATGCCAAGTATTTCTTTATTTGAAACAAAGATAAATTCTGCACAATTTTTTGAAAAGTGCAAATTTAACAAAGACTAATAGGGGAAAATCAATGGTGGTATTACACCTTTAACATCCAGTTTTTGGTATTATAGTTCTTATAATCCATATATCACCCAATTATTCTAGATATTAACTTCCCTTGGAAAGTGGGAGTTATACTTAGCAACATAAATACAACACCACTTCTTCCCATAAACAGAGGTTTCAAAATTTTTTTTGCTAAGAATGTGTAGAAATCAAGCATATTTTATGCATAAAATTTAAATTAATCTACAGTTTACACAGACCGTGTGGATTTCATCTATTCAGTATTGTGACAATAACATTATAATGTATAAGTTAAAAAAATGGAGTCAATCTGTGTCGACGCAAAATATATTTATCAGTAATATAAACAATAAACCCTCCTGCATTTATTAGTTTTTGTTATTTACAGAGTCAGGGTGGTTGTAGCAGATGTCAGATGGTCTGTCTAGATCAGGACACAACTGAAAGAAGTAAGGAACCACTAAAAACATTAGCAGCGTGGAGGGGCAAAAAGGTGAGAAATGTTGAAATAATAATTACAGTAGACCATTTATTTTTTATAAATTTGAAGAGAAGCTAAGTCATTCCTTGAGTCAATAAGGATCTGGATTAGGTTTACTAAATAATTAGCAAAAATTAAAGAATGATTTCCCAAAAAATAAAAAATAGAAAAAATGGGTTGCTAAATTATAAAGAATAGAGATTAAGGGGGTAAAAAAATAAAGAATCTAAAAAAAATGCAAAAAATGAAGACTCTACTGTATATAGTATTATACAAACTTTTTTTGTTCTTGATTATATTCAATATCAGGCAATGGCATGAAAACCTTCTAATTTGCCATTTACCAAATTCAATGGCTTTATCATTTGCCCCTTTCACAGTAACAAAAAATTAATTTCGTTGAGTATTCAAATTCATGGTTTCCCCCTTTAAGGATGTTCGCTCCTCTGTTTCAAAATAACAAGCTTTTTAAAAGACGTTAATAAATTGATAGTATATAAATAACAGAACTTGACAAGCAAACAAAAATTATAGGTCCATGTCCTTGTTTTTGAGATATTATCAATTGAAAATTTGGCGGGGAAAATATTCTCTCTAGGTTTTTTCATACGTTTAACATTGGCACCTTTCTTCTTTCAAAGACTATGAAAAAATAACAAGGATTTTATAAAATTTTGAATAATGGCTTTTTAAACCATATGAAATAAAATTATGAAAACAAAAATAAAGGTTAGTGGGCAAAATTTTTGTTGGCATTACATGGATAAAACCAGAGGATTCTGAATATCTGACAAAAAGTCAAAATCAAGAGTAGCGAACATCTTTAATAGCAAAGAAATCCATAAAAACTGGTATCCTACAAATATTAGTGAATTGACATTACGTCTGTTCTACAAATGTCCTCTTTTCACTATTGACCATACACAAGTTGAGCCTCTTCAAGTACCTGAAATTGTTGTACATTTTGTACTGTGTTTCATTTGTTTTCTTGGATACCAGTTTTCATGGATTGAGGAAAACTTGCATTTTCATGAATATTTTATTTTGTGGTTTTGCCAAAGTCTGCATTAAAGCTGTGGAAAATTTGTAATCATTGAATACATAAATTTGTGAATCACCTGTATCCACAAACTCCATCAAAATTGGTATACATGTTGTACAACAAATATTAATCAGTCCATAGTAAATAGAAAATTGTTTCATATAATAGAACAAACTCATACATTTTTATACGACTGCAAAAAAAATTTTGGGATTGTATAATGGTATGATGTCGTCGTCGTCCGAAGACACGTTGGTTTCCAGACAATAACTTAGTTTAAGTGAATGGATCTTATGAAATTATTTAAGAAGGTTCAATACCACAAAAGGAAGGTTGGGATTGATTTTGGGGATGATGGTCCCAACTGTTTAGGAATAAGGGGCCCAAAACAAGCATTTTTCTAAATTCAGGATAATAACTTGTGTATAAGTATTTTGATTGCTCTGAAATTGTACCACAATGTTTAATACCACAAGTAGAAGGTTGGGATTCATTTTAGGGGTTATGGGGCCAACAGTTTAGGAATAAAGGGCCAAAAAGGGGCCAAAAAACAAGCATTTTTCTAGTTTCCAGTCAATAACTTGTGTGTAAGTGTATGGATCTCTCTGACATTGTACCACAAGGTTCGATATAACAAAGGGAAGGCTGGGATCAGGGCTTCCAAAACGGTCATATATTCCGGACTTGACCGAAACTTTCATAAAAAGTCCGGCTGCTCTCAGCCTCAAACGGTCAAATAGAATTGGTTTGCCACTTTTTTGTTATTCAAGGCATTTTCATAAAACGGTCATTTCAATTTTTACCATCTATCGATCGATAAAAATGTCCGTTTGGCGCTTTGGGCATGTCCGTTTGAGCATTTTAGTTTATAATTGTGGCAATCTATTTCACAAAGATATTTCGGTCATAATTGGGTTTAATAAAACAGATGCAGCATATTTCAGATACTTTGAAGTGTCTCAGTTAGTCTAATCCTCTGGGTACATAAATGTACCGCTTGGTCTTTAGCTTGTGTACATCAATAAAAAGTAGATAAAACACGTTTTCTTTTATTTAAATAACAACAAGCTGTCAAACAATAATCCCTTCAATAAGTTTTATTGAAGCCATAAATCATTCACTGATTACAGGTTTGTAACCTTTGATGAGGTGTCCTTAGCTTGTCTTTATCAATAGAATTAATGATGCATAACACTGTACATAAAGGTGATCAGGTAAACGAGGTCAAACATGTAAGCGTGTATGGAACAACATCCTATTTAATTACGCTTTATAGATATTATTTTAAATGAGCATTCAGTTTAAAAAAGTATCCTGATATTTAAAAGTTATTCTTCAAATAAGGATATTTATAAATGAATAAGTATGATATATATTATTTTATTTAACACTGTACATCGTGTTAAATACTGGGGTACTCTGAAGGGGAAAATTTATTGAAATATATAGGAAAAACACCGAGAATAGCTGAGTTGTCCAATAAATAAGGGGGGCGTTCTCTATTCTTGTTTTCATATTAAAAACTGTTTTTATAATTGAAATCATAAAGAAGAATATCCAATCATGACAATCTCCGACTGTTATAAAGACTTTGTCTCAAATTGAACTTTACAAATCTGCCATCATGGGCAAATGTAAACGTGACGATTCTGATCAAAATTCGAAATCTGCTAAAAATGCTAGAAGCTTTATTCATAAATGGCTACAACTGTTTTTATGGTTAAGATTTGACAGTATGCTAAATGCCATGTTTTGTGACATTTGTCAAAAACATAAACTTAAAAATTACTTTTCGAAAGTCAGCCGTTGTAGAGCATGCTAATAGCAATGACCACGTTCAAGCTCTTAAATTAGAGACAGCTTCCAAAAGTAATCCAATTGTATCAGTATTTGAGAAAGTTCATGAAAAGACTGACAACGCAATGTGCACATTGTTCCGTAATGCTTACTTTATTGCTAAAGAAAACTTACCAATGGACAAATTTCAGTCAATAAATGATTTAACTAAGTTAAATGGTGCCGTTATCACTTCTAAATTACATCAAGAGAACAATGCCTGCTCCGAATTTATTCAGACAATTTCCAATATTATAGAGAAAGAGGTGATGTCCGACGTAAAGTTAAGTCCCCTGTGAGAATTATGATCGACGAGTCAACTGATCTGGCTACGCAAAAACATTTAATTTTGTACTTATCATACCTCAAAGCTGGTGAACTGAAAATTAGTTTTAAAAAATTATTTATCAACTGAGTATGTTTTTATTTATTCTTCTTATTTTCTAAATCAGGTTGGGAAATTGTACAAAGAAAAGTTATTACTGTTCAGTAGATTTTACACGGTTTAAAACAATATCCTTCTTTGGGCCTCCTCAATGTTATCTATAAATACCGCATCAGTTGTAAAAGTCACGTGGTCAGGTAATCAATACACATAAAGAAAAAAGTATCACGTGTATTGATGATCAAGTTGTACTGCAATTAAAGCCAACATCAACAGTTTCAAATAAGATACCCTTAATTTACAAAGTGTTAAGTACTCACAGAGAGAAGATAGATTATATAAAAAGAAACAAAAACATGAGAACAGTCAGGTACTGAAGCTGATTGATGCAATGATGGTTACTGTATAATGCAGTGTATTACGATACACAGAAAAATGACACAATACCGAGGATAATATTTTATTTATTTTTAGAATGAAGAAAACAAAACAGTTATAAATAATTTTATTGCATATAACACTACTAATTATTTAGACACATATATCAATTTATGCATCCTCTCAGTTACATTTAAGTATCCAGCTGATCATTGACCGTCAAAAATATTTCTTTGAAAAATGTCCGGCTGTCGTCAGGAAATTTTGGAAGCCCTGGCTGGGATTGAGTTTGGGGTTAATTGCCCCAAACATGTAGGAATTAGGGGCCAAAAAAGGGCCAAAAAGAAGCATTTTTCTAGTTTCCAGACAATAACTTGTGTTTAAGTGTATAGATCTCTCTGAAATTGTACTACAAGGTTCAAAGTTTTGGGGTTATTGCTCCAAGGGAGGTTTCAATAAGTTGAAGGGGGGGGGGGGGGGGGGATTTTTTGTTTACAATTTTTTGAAGGGATTTTTTTTTTTTTCAAAATTTTTCAAATTTTGAATTTTTGAAAAGTTTCAAGAAGAAATCTTTAATTGCACAGTATTGTGCAATAGATTTGTAAGATCTTAGACCACATTTATTTTGTGTCAGAAACCTATATTATGTCAAAAATTTGATCACAATCCAATATCAGCTTGAATATTGTGTCCAAATTTGTGTTCAGGGTTCGACCTCTGTGGTCGTATCAGGCTGCGCTCAGCGAAGCATTTTATTGCAATTGATATTGTGAAAAATTTAACTGTTGTTAACAAAACCTGTGTAGAAGATTTCTTCAAATATAATTTATCATTACATTGCATTTTGTATACTGTGCATTCATTATTATTTGTAGGATACTAATTTTCTTGGATTTCGTGGGTATACCTGGACCACACATTTAAATGTTCAACAAGTACAAATTAACTATAGGCCTATATGCAGACTTTAACAAAACCTCAAATCAAAAATCTCTGAACATACAATTTTCCCTCAATCAACGAAAATTTGTATGCACCAAAAAAAAAAAATCCACAGCATCATCCATAGTACCAGCCAAAAGCCGAAAGAATTTTCTTTTTGGAAAAAGAGATGGGGGTAAAAAAGAAATTGTGTCAGAAACCTATTATGTGTCAAATATTTAATTACAATCCAAATTCAGACCTGTATCAAGCGCGAATATTGTGTCCATTTTTGCCCCAACTGTTCAGGGTTGGACCTCTGCGGTCGTATCCAGCTGCGCTCAGCGAAGCATTTTATTCCATATTATGGCCATTTGTTATATTTTAGGTCTTGTTTGTGTATCTCCATCTGATTCCAGGACTAACTGTCAATACTGTAATTAAGTGGGTTTGACCAGGATTCTCTGTTTATTTTTCAGATTCCTTTCGGAATACATCTAAAACATGATGATTCTGCTGTTGGGAAGAGGATTCATGTTGGAGATACCCTGTCTTTTAAATGATACACAAATTAAACTGAAATTGAGATTTGAGTGACAATTTGATTCTATATTTTAATCATGTAATAACTAGAATTGTTTGTTATCTTTACTATAAAACTGTGCCAAAATTGTTAATGATATATTTACATTGTTACTTTTTTAAATAAGCATGTTTAATTATTTCAGAGAACTTTATAAATTATAGTCAGATTTGTGATGTTATATGGTCTTGCCTGCAATAAAAAATTATGGTACTGCCTGGTATTAATTATACAATCACAATGTTTTGTTATATGGTACTTTTGTTTTACCTGCAATAAAAATCTACGGTACTGGTATTGATTACTGTAAATTCAGAAATTATTGCATGCATTTATTATTGCGATTTTGTCATTTTAGACCAAAATGCAATTATATTTTTTTCAATAATGGAAAAATCCTGCTTCATTCATATAAAAAAATCCAAAATGCAAGTTTAAATTATTGCAATTACAATCCTTTCACATTATCTTGAAAACTATAATAGAAAGAGCAACAGATAACAGTAAAAATGATCAGCAAACCAAAAACTCTACAAATTTGTAGGCTTGACCAAAATTGTCAATCAAATCTTTAAGTAGTTAATGCCCTTTAGTTACAAGTTTTACCATATTTGTTTTAGTCCCCTACCGACGAAGTCGAAGGGTACTTTAGGTTTGCACTCCGTCTGTCTGTCTGTCTGTCTGTCTGTCTGTCCATCCGTCTGTCGGGCAAATCAGTTTTCCACACTTTTTTTCTTCATCCTTGAAGATATTGATTTGATATTTGGTGTATTGTTTTATCATGACAAGTTACAGATCAAGTTTGAATTTTGTTCCTGTCTGATGATTTTGTGCAGACTTATGGTCCTTGGACTTAGAAAATTCACTCAAATAATAATTTTCCTCACTTTTTTTCATCATGCTTGAAAATATTGATTTGATAATTGGTATATAGTTTTATCATGACAAGTTACAGATCAAATTCGAATTTTGTTCCAGTCTGATGATTTTGTGCAGCGTTATGGTCCTTAGGACATAGAAAATTCACTTAAATAATCAGTTTTCTACACTTTTTTTCATCATGCTTGAAGATATTTGACTTGATATTTGTTATAAAGTTAATTACACCATGACAAATTATGAGCAACATGACGGGTGCCACATGTGGAGCAGGATCTGCTTACCCTTCCGGAGCACCTGAGATCACCCCCAGTTTTTGGTGGGGTTCGTGTTGCTAAGTCTTTAGTTTTCTTTGTTGTGTCTTGTGTACTATTATTTGTCTGTTTGTCTTTTTACTTTTTGGCCATGGCGTTGTCCGTTTGTTTTCGATCTGTGAGTTTGACTGTCTCTCTGGTATCTTTCACCCCTCTTTTTACAGAACACGTTAGCATTTTGTTACAGTACAATGAATTTTTAAACGGTAGGGGACTATGTATTGCCATGCAATATTCTTAGAATACTTGTTTTTCTAGTTTTTCGCTTTTACCTTGAAAACTAAAATAGATGGACAAGAACTTTTAGCAAAAAAATCATCAAGATAAGATTTACATACAAGTCAACATACCCAAAATTGTGAACCAACACCTTTAAATGACAAGTATCCAAATTTATCTTGAAAAGTATAATACAAAGATACTGAAATCAGCAAAACATTACATCTACATATAAGTCAAAATGACCAAAATTGTCAATTGACCACTTATAGGAGTTATTGCCCTTAAATGATGAATTTGTTTTTACCTTTTCTTTTGCCAATTATTTCTGAAAACTATAATATATAGAAACTGTAAGCAGCAAAAATGCTGAGCAAACGAAGATCTACAAATAAGTCAGTGCATTTCTGAAATTGTCAATTGACTCCTTATAGGAGTAACTGCCCATGGATGACCATTTAAACATTTATGAAATTTTGGCTATTTTCATGATAAGGGAGAAACTGTAAAGAGTAAAAATAGTCTGTATTTTTGTTTGATCTGTAGGTAAGGAATGTATGGTTTAAATATGGCATTGACAGCTTGGCCTCAATACACAAACGTATCTATTGGTTCTAGAAATTGTACCTAATGACCTCATATTTACACTCTTATTATCATGTTTGAGTTTTTTCGAGCCTGCAACTTCTGTCGCAGGTTTGATTTGATTTGATTTTTTGGTGTTTTAACGCCACTTTTAATCACCGCTTTTGGGCAGTTTTTATTGGTGGAGGAAGCTGGAGTGCCCGGAGAAAACCACCGACCTTCGATAGGAAAACTGACAATCCTAGTCAATTAAGATTGGAGTCGAGTGTACCCGCACGATCGGGGTTCGAACTCATAACCTTAGTGTTGACTGGCTAGTGATTACAGTAGTAACTACTTAGACCACTCGGCCACCGAGGCCCCACTTCTGTCGCAGAAAGCTAAACATAGGGATAGTGATCCGGCAGTGTTAACAAACTTCTAAATGCATTTGATTTTAGAAGGTGGAAGACCTGAATGCTTCATACTTTGTATAAAGATGACTTATGGTATGAAGTTTCTATCTTTCATATGTCCATTGTCCTTGACCATTTCCATGGTTCAGTGACTACTTGAAAAAAAGGTAAGATTTTGTAATATGAATAATAGGATAACTATATTTAGTATGTGTGTACCTTGCATAGTCCTTATGCCTGTCAGACCTTTTTCATTTGACCTCAACCTCATTCCATGGATCAGTGAACAAGGTTAAGTTTTCGTGGTCAAGTCCATATATCAGATACTATAATCAATAGGTCTACTATGTTTGGTGTATGGAATGATTGTAAGATGTACATGTCCAACTGGCAGGTGTCATCTGATCTTGACCTCATTTTCATGGTTAGGTTTTGTGTTTTGGTCTTTTTTTCTAATACTATATGCAATAGGTCAACTATATTTGGTGTATAGAAATATTTTGCAATGTACATGTCAGTCTGGCAGGTTTTGTTTGACCTTGACCTCATTTTCATGGTTCATTGCACAGTGTTAAATTTTTGTGTTTTGGACTGTTTTTCGTAAACTATAAGCAATAGGTCAACTATATTTGGTGTATAGAACAATTGTAACTTGTATATGTCTGTCTGGCAGGTATCACCTGAACTTGACCCCATTTTCATAGTTCATTGGTCAATGTTAAGTTTTCATGGTTAAGTTTGTTTCTTTGATACTATAGGTAATAGGTCAACTATATTTGGTGTATGGAATGATTTTAAGGTGTATATGTCTGTCTGGCAGGTATGATCTGACCTTGACCTCTTGTTTATGGTTCATTGGTCAATGTTAAGTTTTCATAGTTAAGTTTGTTTCTTAGATACTATAAGTAATAGGTCAACTATATTTAATGCATAGATTGATTTTAAGGTGTTCACGTCTGTCTGGCATGGTTCATCTGACCTTGACCTCATTTTCATGGTTCATTGGTCAATGTTAAGTTTTCCTGGTTAAGTTTGTTTCTTAGAAACTATAAGTAATAGGTCAAGAATATTTGGTGTATGGAATGAGTGTAAGGTGTACATGTATTTCCGTTTTTGTTTATCTGACCTTGACCTCATTTTCTTGGATCATGTTAAGTTTATGTGATAAGTTTAGTAAAGCTTTATTTTTAGGACTATCAACATAAAATCAATGGTCCGTAAAGGAGGAGAGACATTCAGCGTGTGCACTCTTGTTGATTCATGTATGGTTTTTGTTTGAAAATTATATGAGAGGTCAACAATATCTTGATCATGTGCATATGGCAGGTGTCACTTGACTTTGACCACAGCTTTAAAGTTCATTGACCTTGAATGATAAATGAACTAAAATAGTATTAAAGATATACATAATTCAAATTTTCTGCATGAATTGTATTCACAGGACAAGGTAAAAACAGTTATATTACACAATTACACAATAGTTCAAACACTGATATGTCTTGCCTGCTTAACTGGTCATGATTAAATTGTTGAAAGTCTTAAATATAAAGGTTTTGCTACAAGTATCACATAAACTTAACATTATCAATGGTCAATTTTTAAATGAAGTCAATTAACTCTGCCAAACAGACATGTACCACTTACAATCATTACATATACCAAATAAGAGTTAACCAATTGCTTTTAGTATCTGAGAAACAGACTTAACCATAAAAACTTAACATTAACCAATGAACAATGCAAAATATGTCAAGGTCAAATAACCCTGCCAGGCAGATATGTACACCTTTCAGTCATTCCATACACCAAGTATAGATGTTCTAATGTCAGAGATACATACTTGTCTAAACATTGAACACTGATCCATGAAATGAGGTAATGGTTAGTGAACTCTGTCTGAAGGACATGTGGACTTTTCAAGGAACCCATATACCCTTTATAGTTTATCCTATTATTCATTATAAATGAGAAATTCACATGACAAAATAACTAAAGTTTTTTTAAGCATGTGCAAAAACATGAAAATTAGGTCAAGGACAGTGAACACATGACAGACTGTTTAAGGAATATCTGTGTCACAGATGATCATGGATATGTTCCAAGTATTGTAACCACAATCCTGTCCTTATTTCCTCGATTTTGACATCTCTGAATCAGTACTTAGCATGAGCAACATGACAGAGTACCTGAGATCACCCATTTTTTAGTGGTGTTGAAGTTCTGTTGCTGTCTTTAGTTTTCTATGTAGTGTTTATTAGTTTTGAATGTCCTTTTGATATGTTCTGTCTCTGTTTTATGTTGAATCAAACCAATTCATCAATTAAATGTACAAAAGTGTAGACCATCCTTACATAATTAACATTAAAAAAAACATCAAAGACTAGAAGTACAGCTGTTTTGATTTGTTTTATTTAACAAATAAGTTACTGCCTGTTGAATATACAGCGAATAACAAAATACATAAAATGTGAATATAAATAGCTTTCTTTAATATTCATACATATTTTTACTATCACTGATAGTATGCAATCACCAGGACTATATACTATAATGTTTCACCCCTAATCAGTTACAAGATCTGTTCACTGATTGATTGACATAAAAAATATCCAAACACAATAGTCCCTGAAATAAAAACAAAAGAACATAAAATGGCAAAATAAGCAGTCGGCACATCAAAATCCATTGATTTTTTTAAAACTGAAACTTTCCAAATGTTCAGTTTTCTTCTTCTATTTAATGTACTAATTTAATCTGCACTATACCAAACAATTCAAAATATTGCTATTGTTTGAATAAAATATTCTATGCTGTTTTCTGTAATGGAAATTTAATGTTACATAGTTTATGTTTATAACGATAAAAAAAATATTAGATAATCATGGGTTATTATTCAAATCAAGAAATACATTATTTTAACTATGTTTTGAATGTAAATTCTTCGGAAAAAATACTTCAATCATAATTCCTCTTTGGCATTCGACTTTTTTGCAAACAGACCTATAGGACATGAAACACCAGTGCCCCCTAGTCCACAATATCCGTTTGGATTTTTATGTAAATATTGCTGATGATAGTCCTCAGCGTAGTAAAACTCTTCAGCAGGTAATATTTCAGTTGTTATTCTATCGTGGCCTTTTTCCGTTAAAAGTTTTTGATAGGCAGTACGAGATTCCTTAGCCTCCATTCCTTGCTGTTCGCCACAGTAATAGATTCCTGATCTGTACTGGGTGCCAACATCTTTACCTTGTCTCATTCCATGTGTTGGGTTGTGATTTTCCCAAAATAACTGAAACAGAAGTAAATAAGTAATTACTTGTACTGTTAAATGTTATATATTCAGTTATAAATTATGTTTAACATCCTGAACCATGATTTACAATGTTCAAGGAAGATATTTAGACTTGCTGTAGATTCATTTTTATACTGCAACTAGTTGTGTTTATTTCCTAAATATAGTAACAGCTATATTTTGTGCAATATCAATTTCATCATGGATCACTTTTTCCACAATCAGGGGTTCATTAAGTGATGCAAGTAAGTTTGAAATTTGAAGAGCTATCAATGTATTCATTTAAGTTGGCTTGCAGTATAAAAACAATATTAGGTCAATGTCACAAAAATGTCACTTTTTTGTATCTAGCACAAAACTGGGGAACATCCCCAGTTTCTCAGCCTCATACAAAAAAGTTTATATTTTTCTGACATTGACCTAATATGGTATATTTATTCGTTGGGTTCTAATTTTCATGGATTGCATGGGTTTCGAATAACCATAAATTGACATGTTCAATATTGTATACATTTTATATAGGCTTGTATGCAAACTTTGACAAAACAACGAATTAAAGTTTCCATAAAAATACATTTTTCTTCAAACTACGAAAATTGGCACCCATGAAAATAAATGAATCCACAGTATCTTGCTTTAGTTATATCACAGGCAAGTAACTAAGACAAGTGATATGGGTTTTTTGTCGAGCCTGCGACTTTTGTCGCAGAAAGCTCGACATAGGGATAGTGATCCGGCTCCGGCGGCGTTAACTGACTTCTTAAAAGCTTTATATTTTAGAAGGTGAAAGACATGGATGCTTCATACTTTGCATATAGATGCCTTATGTTACGAAGTTTCCGTCTGTCACATGTCCATTGTCCTTGACCTCATTTTCATGGTTCAGTGAGTACTTGAAAAAAAGGTTAAGATTTGTTGTAATGTTAATTTCTCTTTTATTATGAGTAATAGGATAACTATATTTGGTATGTGCGTACCTTGCAAGGTCCTCTTGACCGTCAGACAGTTTTCACTTGACCTCGACCTCATTTCATGAATCAGTGAACAAGGTTAAGTTTTCGTGGTCAAGTCCATATCTCAGATACTATAAGCGATAGGTCTAGTATATTTGGTGTATGGAAGGATTGTAAGGTGTACATGTCCAACTGGCAGGTGTCATTTGACCTTGACCTCATTTTCATGGTTCAGTGGTTATAGTTAAGTTTTTGTGTTTTGGTCTGTTTTTCTTATACTGTACGCAATAGGTCAACTATATTTGGTGTATGGAATGATTGTAAGGTGTACATGTTCAACTGGCAGGTGTCATCTGACCTTGACCTCATTTTCATGGTTCAGTTGTCAAAGTTATGTTTTTGTCGAGCCTGTGACTTTTGTCGCAGAAAGCTCGACATAGGGATAGTGATCCGGCGGCGGCGGCGTTAGCTAACTTTTTAAAAGCTTTATATTTTAGAAGGTGGAAGACATGGATGCTTCATACTTTGTATATAGATGCCTTATGTGACGAAGTTTCCATCTGTCACATGTCCATTGTGCTTGACCTCATTTTCATGGTTCAGTGACTACTTGAAAAAAAGTTAGGATTTTTTGTAATGTTAATTTCTCTCTTCTTATGAGTAATAGGATAACTATATTTGGTATGTGCGTACCTTGCAAGGTCCTCATGCCCGTCAGACAGTTTTCACTTGACCTCGACCTCGTTTCGTGGATCAGTGAACAAGGTTAAGTTTTGGTGGTCAAGTCCATATCTCAGATGCTAGAAGCAATAGGTCTAGCATATTCGGTGTATGGAAGGACTGTAAGATGTACATGTCCAACTGGCAGGTGTCATCTGACCTTGACCTCATTTTCATGGTTCAGTGGTCAAAGTTAAGTTTTTGAGTTTTGGTCTTTTTTTCTAATACTATATGTAATAGGCCATCTATATTTGGTGTATGGAAATATTTTATAATGTACATGTCTTGCAGGTTTTATTTGACCTTGACCTCATTTTCACGGTTCATTGCTTAGTGTAAAGTTTTGTGTTTTGGTCTGTTTTTCTAATACTATAAGCAATAGGTCAACTATATTTGTTGTATGGAAGGATTGCAAGCTGTACATGTCTGCCTGGCATGGTTCATCTGACCTTGACCTCATTTTCATGGTTCATTGGTCAATGTTTGGTTTTCTTGGTTAAGTCTGTATCTTAGAAACTATTAACAATAGGTCAACAATATTTAGTGTATTGAATGATTGTAAGGTGTACATGTATTTCTTGTTTGGTTTATATGACATTGACCTCATTTTCTTGGATCATGTCAAGTGTATGTGATAGTTGTAGTAAAGCTTTATATTTAGGACTATCAACATAATATCAATGATTAGTAAAGAAGGCGAGACATTTCCGCGTGTGCACTCTTGTTGAGTTTTGGTCTTTTTTTCTAATACTATATGCAATAGGTCAACTATATTTGGTGTATGGAAATATTTTATGATGCACATGTCAGTCTCGCAGGCTTTATTTGACCTTGACCTCATTTTCACGGTTCATTGCTGAGTGTTAAGTTTTTGTGTTTTTGTCTGTTTTTCTTAAACTATAAGCAATATGTCAATTGTATTTTTTGTATAGAAGGATTGTAAGCTGTATATGTCTGTCTGGCAGGTATCATCTGACCTTGACCTCATTTTGTTGGTTCATTGGTCAATGTTAAGTTTTCATGGTTAAGTTTGTTTCTTAGATACTATAAGCAATAGGTCAACTATGTTTAATGCATAGGTTGATTGTAAGGTGTACATGTCTGCCTGGCATGGTTCATCTGACCTTGACCTCATTTTCATGGTTCATTGGTCAATGTTTAGTTTTCTTGGTTAAGTCTGTTTATTAGAAACTATAAGCAATAGGTCAACTATAGTTAGTGTATTGAATGATTGTAAGGTTGATAGTTGTAGTAAAGCTTTATATTTAGGACTATCAACATAATATCAATGGTTAGTAAAGAAGACGAGACATTTCAGCGTGTGCATTCTTGTTCATGTAACTCAGTTCCTGAATGTTTGATTTTGTATAATTTCTATTATGGTAGCCTTAAGGAGGTTTGGCCCAAACAATACCAGCCATCCTAGGTGCAATGAAAGTAGTTACTTAAATGGCTATTCACTACCCTGTTTGAATTGAAACCCTCTAGTACTACTATACAAACGATAACCAGAAGTATAATAAAGAATTGTTACTTTTTATACGCCCGTTTACGGGACGTATTATGGTATACCGTTGTCCGTCCGTCCGTCTGTCCGTCGTCAACATGTCGGACATTAACTCAAAAATGTTTTAACCAAATTGCATAAAACTTTGGTGAATTGTTTATATCTATCGACGTGAGCTCCCTTTCGTTTTTTATAAAATTAGATTTTACGTTTCCGAGTTATGGGGTTTTATTCATTAAAAAAAAGGGGAATTTTCCAGTTTTCGAACAATAAGTCAAGAATGCTTTCACCAACTTGCAAGAAATTGTGGTGAATTGTTTATATCTTATCTATTGACATGAGCTCCCTTTCGATTTTTATAAATTTTAGATTTTACATTTCCGAGTTACAGGGTTTTAATCATAAAAAAGGGGGGATTTTCCAGTTTTCGGACAAAAACTCAAAACTGCTTTCAGCAATTCTTATGAAACTTTGGTGAATTGTTTGTATGTATTGACGTAAGCTCCTTTTAGAATTTTATAAATTTTACATTTAACATTTCTGAGTTATGGGGTTTTATTCAATAAAAAAGGGTGATTTTCCAGTATTCGGACAATAACTCAAAAATGCTGTCACCAATTCTCAGGGAACTTTGGTGAATTGTTTATATCTGTTGATGTAAGATCCCTTTTTATTTTCATAAATTTCTAATATGAGATTGAGAATTAATTGAACTTTATTTGTTTATAGTCTGACAACAGATATACTAAGTATTGCACAACAGCAAGAAATCTTTAATTGAATATAAATTCAATTCATATAACCAATTTCAAGTTCTTTGACTACATTTATTCAGAAACCTATAATATGTCAAATATTTAATTACAATCCAAATTCAGACCTGAATCAAGCTTGAATATTGTGTCCATTTTTGCCCCAACTGTTCAGGGTTGGACCTCTGCGGGCGTATCTAGCTGCGCTCAGCGAAGCAGTTTATTACTATTTCTTTTCATATCAAAAACATACCAGGGTACGTTTCTTGTCAAAAAACCTTAGTGAAGACACATGCAAGCTACACTGACTAATAAATGATGCCTCAAAAGTGCTAGTACCCTTTTCAGTTCTATATAATACGTGGATTTTTACCCTGGAGTAGGTTTCTGAGAAAGAGGGTGCTTATTATGCATGTCTACCCGGTACGTATTTTCCTATTCTTTTTTTCAAGTCGGAAATCTGACCAAATTGAAACCAGAGGAAGTCAGGAGAAACAATTGCCTTTGAAGAAATTTTATGAATGGAAACAAATTAATTGAATCAATCATATATTACAAGTATTTTTTTTTTATGTAGTATCGTGTATGCATCTTCATTATTTTCATCTTAAGCAAAGCCATCTCTTGAAAACTTTAATTTCAATGTTTTTAATTTTACTGAAAGGAAAGCGTAACATGTGTGTACTAAACAACTTCGAGTTGACTGTTCCTTATCAATTAATTTCCCTTTGTTAAAGGGGGAAACAGCTTTAACTTTCATAATCATTATCTTTGCAAACATGTAGTTTGTGAATTTCCCCTGCACCAAATAAACACCTTTGGTGTATCTTAACTCAACAAATAAAATGTCATAGCTTGTTGTTTATCTCATTCAGTAAAGTGATGACTTTTCAAAAGTACAAACACTGATGACTTTCAAAAGTACAAATACTGATGACTTGCAAAAGGACAAACACTGATGACTTTCGAAAGCACAAACACTGGTAGTTTAATTTTTCTATATCATTACCTTTAAAATGTCTGCATAGGATGTTTTCTTGGGATCAAACATAAGTCTAACCACTTCAGTATGACCAGTTCCACCTGTACAAACTTCTTTGTATGTAGGGTTAGGTGTAAATCCACCAGAGTATCCTACCTTAAAACAAAAATACAACATTTAATCAAACCTTTCTCAAGCAAGAACACAATACTGTAAATTCAGAAGTTATTATTATGTTTTTAATAATGCAATAAATGTGACATTATCAGATTCGCAATAATAAAAACTTGCATTCATGATTTGAGTAGTTCTTTTCCTGCACAAAATGTTTGCAATTGCGTTAATTAGATCTCGCATTTATACCAGTAATCACTGCTTTGCAATAAAAAAAAAGCAGCATAATTTCTGAATTTACAGTTATCAAGATCAGTTATAGAACCTTTCACAGGCAAGAAAACAGACATACAGAGATTTGAAATTGCAAACACTATTGTACTTTAGTTAAATTGTTATAACAAGACTTTCCATTTTGCAGTCTTTTATCTAAAGCATTTATGCATGGTAGGCCAACAATTAACAAAAGATAATTTTATAATTTATAGGGCCCCACCAATTAATCGGTTCATCTGTCTGTAAAAAACTCGTTTGGAGTTCAGTGATGAAACTGGCATGATTATTCACCACTACCAGAAGGTGTGTGCTGGGTACAAGGGAGATAACTGTACAATGAAAGTCATGTCAATAATTTATTTCAACTTAGTCATCCCTGTGCAAATGTAAAAAATCTATTTCCTCACTATAACTTTTAAGCCCTTGGAGTTCATGGTTGAAACTAAACATTATCATTTACAACTTCTAGAAGCTAGGTGTGTCGTGTACACAGAAGAAAACATTTTAGTGAAAGTAATGGTCAGAAACTTAGTTTAGCAATAATTGTTTCTTCTCTTCCACTTTAAAACCCTTTGGAGTTCGCGGATGAAACTATGTATTATTATTTTCACCACTACCAAAACTGCTGGGCCTTTTATAGCTGACTATACTGTATGGATTTTGCTCATTGTTGAAGGCAGCATATGCAGAGAGCTTGCGTTGCTTACATCCACGTCAATTACACTCTGGAAGATGGTTTTCTAATGAGAAATCAGACCACATCTCCTTATTTTTAAACAAAAAGAGACAATTTGTATACAGGACCATAGTTACTGATTTAATAGATGTTGCCATTCTTTGACAGGGAACTTCTCAACATATAATACATGTAGTGTTACATTTAAACAAAAATTTGTGACATTGACATATATATAAATTTTTGAACAACGGCTTATCGTAAACACAAACCATGGTAGAATATACTCCATTGTGTTTCCAAAACATTCTTTCTGCTCCCCAGAAACATCCCAATCCTAAAAAAAAATAAAATATATTTTTTGTTCTGCATTTTGATATTCATTTTTTTTTCAAATTTGTCACAATGTTTACTGTCAATCAAAATTAAATGTATAACCAGACCATGTAATAAGAGATTATCGATGGTATTTCAAACAAGATGGTGTTTCTTAGCTACAATCTGAACGAAGGGCGACAGTCCTGGGATGAGATGTAGCCTAAAAACATCCACAAGGTTGAAAGAACATTGATAATCTGTTTATCGATGTTTTCCTAGGCAATGTAAATGACATAGGCTGATGACGTCATAGATTCTCTCTCTCGACTAAGAAAAAATATGCTGTTCCTAACAGGCCATAGATACTAGCGATAATTTTTTTCTCAAGCAAATACCATGTTATTTATGAAATGACTGTAATATTTTTTTCTGTATATGAAGAAATAACATCAAAAATGTGGTGCACAGTAAATAACCAGCCTAGCGGATTATATAAAAGTGTGCACCACATAATTAAGGTTATTTCGAATAGACAGAAAAAAATATTACAGTCAGTCCTTATAATTTAATTTTAAATTCCATTTTTAAGGAGTAAATCATGAAAAAAACGTTGATGACGTCACGGTCACGTGATAAAATTATGTCTATGTGCTGATAGGCAAAACACTTTCAGCCAATCAGAAGACGTGTTGCATCCAAAATTAAATAATGAAAAATTAATACAGAAACAGATCAAAGGAAAAAATACACAAGATAGCAATAATACAAATAATTGAATTACATGTTTTTAACCATATCCATCTCAAATGGTTTGATGATATGTCACTTAATTATTCAAATGCACACACAGCATAGTTATTCCTTATTTTTTTTCATGACCTCATAAGTCATTTGAAAAAATAATATGGTTGTACTTTGTTTTGTGTACCTTTAATAATCCCTTATGTGCATAGAAATTATGACATAGTTGTTTTTTTTATATTATGTATAATATAAGAAAGAAATTTTTATTGAGAAAAAAATTATTGTTGCTCAACAACTATTTATAGTAGTAGTCTAATACTTCATTGCTCTTACCACACATACAGGGTATAGTCCTTGCCATACCTTCAGGGAATGGTTCTATGATAGAGTGACCATTAATTGTAAATGTACTTACCACACATACAGGGTCTAGTCCTTGCCATGCCTTCAGGGAATGGTTCTTTGATAGATTGACCATTAATAGTAGATGTACTTTCCAACCATACAGAGTCTAGCTAGCCCTTGCCATACTTTCAGATAATGGTTCTATGATAGAGTGACCATTAATAGTAGATGTACTTACCAAACATACAGGGTCAAGCTAGCCCTTGCCATACCTTCAGATAATGGTTCTATGATAGAGTGACCATTAATAGATGTACTTACCAAACATACAGGGTCTAGTCCTTGCCATACCTTCAGATAATGGTTCTATGATAGAGTGACCATTAATAGTAGATGTACTTACCAAACATACAGGGTCTAGCTAGCCATTGCCATACCTTCAGATAATGGTTCTATGATAGAGTAACCATCAACAGTATATGTACTAACCAAACTGAGCCATTTCCATGCCTTAAGGGAATGGTTCTATGATAGTGTAAGCATGAACAATAGATCTACTTACCATACATAGCCATTTCCATGCCTTTATGGAATGATTATATAATAGTGTAACAATAAACAGTAGATGTAGTTACCAAAGATAGCCATTTCCATGTCTTCAAGGAATTGTTATATAATAGTGTAACCATTAACAGTAGATGTATTTATATACTAACCAAACATAGCCATTTCCATGCCTTCAGGGAATGGTTCTATGATAGTGTTACCATTAACAGCATGTTTGGGTGATACTACCATCTTCTCTGGTCTTCCTGTAATAGAAAATTTCATCAGCATACACAATATATCCAGATGACATTTATCAGATTTCATGACTTAGACACGACCATTCATCTTTTGTGGTCTAAAAACTTAAAAATTTTTAATTTACCTATTATGGTCCAATATCCAAAATCTAAATACATGGTTAGATTCAGCATATCAAAGAATCCAAAGAATTCAATTTTTGATGAAATCAAACAAAGTTTAATTTTGGACCCTTTTGACCTCAATGTGGACCAATTTGATAACGGGGCCCAAAAATCAAAATACATGGTTAGATTCAGCATATCAAAAAACCCCATATATTCAATTTTTGTTGAAATCAAACAAGTTTAATTTTGGACCCCAACTTGGACCAACTTGAAAACTTGACCCATAATCAAAAATCTAAACACATGTTTAGATTCAGCATATCAAAGAACCCCAAGAATTCAATTTTTGTTAAAATCAAACTAAGTTTAATTTTGGACCCTTTGGACCTTAATGTAGACCAATTTAAAAAACGGGACCCAAAACTAAAAATCGAAATACACGGTTAGATTTGGCATATCAAAGAACCCCAATAATTCAATTTTTGATGAAATAAAACAAAGTTTAATTTTGGACCCTTTTGACCTCAATATGAACCAATTTGATAGTGGGGCCCACAAATAAAAAATCTAAATACATGGTTAGATTCAACATATCAAAGAACCCCATATATTCAATTTTTGTTGAAATCAAACAAAGTTTCAAAGCAGTGTAAGGGAGGTAATTCAAATGATGTATTTGATTTATCTTCCTTACACTGCTTTAAATTATGTTTTGTACTAAAGTATTTGTGCATATAAAAATGCTTGTTTTTATCCCCTTTTATGGCCCCTAATTCCTAAAATTTTGAGGCAATTACCCCCAAAATCAATCCCAGCATTCCCTTTGTGATATGGAACCTTGTGGTACAATGTCAGAGAGATCCATAAACTAACACACAAGTTATGTCTGGAAGTTACAAAAATGCTTATTTTTGGCCCCTTTTTGGCCCCTAATTCCTTAACTGTTGGTACCATAACCCCCAAGATCAATCCCAACCTTCCTTTTGTGATATTGAACCTTATGATAAAATTTCATAGAGATCCATTCACTTAAACTAAAGTTAGAGTGCGAAAACCAGTGTGTCTTCGGACGACGACGACGACGACGATGACGCCAACGTCATACCAATATACGATCGCAAAAATTTTTTTGCGGTCGTATAATGATAGGTCACCAAGCTAAAGGTTGGGGAAAATTGACACATTTTATAAAGATGATGATGATGGATGGATGCTTAACGTCCAGCGGCAAATTCATATGCATATTCAGGACGAGAACAGGTTAATGTGATATGAAAAGTAACCCTGCTTTGTACTAGACCAACACGCTGAACCGAATTTTTAACGTATTATAGTTTACAAGGTAATAGTCCGCAGGAAGACATGTCACCTTACCTGGACACATTATTCTGACTCCAAGCCAACCAGTCTTTGCCTTATTTCCTTTATGCCACGTGCTTAGCGGAGAAACAGCAAATACCAATTTTTAAGTCTTTGGTTTGACCAGGCCAGGGTTCAAACCCACGACCTCCAGCACTCGAGACGGCTATAATTTGTAAAGATTATTCAGAGTTAAAGAGTTATATTGTCAATAGAAAGAAAACAAAATGACAGAATTTTGAAATAAAATATGATAATATATATATATATATATATCTTATAAAATGCTTTTTGATAATGAAAAGAAAAATGGAGTCACCATACTATCTTTTTCTTGCTATAACACAAAATAGAAATCTTTACTGTACATTTCTTTATGAAATTATTGCTACACAATGATGTTGCATGAATATTATAGCACCAAAATCGGAAATTCAATCTTAAACATTAAAACAATCAAGTTTTCTTGAAACTTGCCTTTTTGACAAGACTATTACCATGATTACAGTTGAAGTCAAGTGTTGTCATACTAAAAAGCAAAAATACCGAACTCCAAGGGAAATTAAAAACGGAAAGTCCTTTTTAAAACATTAGTTGGGAAATCATATAGAATTATGTTGATTTAAGGTTTGATCGAGGCAGTCTGTACACAGGCAAATTGTTTTCAAGGAAATTTTGACTTTTACATGAATTTCACGTAAACTTCATCTGAATTTCATGTGAACATAATTTACCTGTATAGAGCAAAAAAAAAATTTTTCCATACAAAAGGGACAGGCAAATAACCATAATACTGGACTAGAAAACCCATTAATAATGAAAAATGAATCCTGATTTAAGTTTGTATATAAAAGTGCACAGAAAGGTGGTAAATTTACCTGGAAGGGCTTCATCCTTCTGAGGCATCTGAATCTTTGATGACATATCTCCCACAGAAAAGAAACTTGCTGTTGGTGGTCCTGTCTTAAATAACTGTGTCACAACTATAAACAACGGGACGGCACTTCGTGGGAAAAGATTCCTGTAATTCAATATCAATAACAGAGAAGATTCAGACCATTAGGTGATGGTCCTGGCTTATGTATCAGTAGCACTTAAGATATATGTCACATGGTATGATATAACCAGATGAAGCTTGATGTCGTATATCTTCCTTGTACACCTTACATGTGCATTTTACTTAGGCAGTGTCTGCGCGACCCCGCATGCGAGTACGAGTAGCCAAATTTGCATTCGTTGGAATGTGTTTATACACTTTATATGGCATTACAGAGGTGTATCACTATTGATCAATTATACAGTACAAATTAATTTATCTTGTGAGATTTCATAAGCTTAATTATAAAACCAGAGATCTGGAATGTCTAAGATAAAATAAGGAGATGTGGTATGATTGTCAATCAAAAATTCAGTGCGTTCTATCTTATTTTATAGGAATACAGTATACAACTATCACAGATAAATGGTTACGAATGCTGTAAAACACATACATTGAAACTTACATAACCTAAGTGTTCTTTAACTGTGTGTTGACAGACGAAAACGAGGTTATAGGGAAAATAACCTGGTTCACAGACAATAACTTGATTATTAGTGTATGGATATCTATGAAATTTTACCATAAGGTTCCATACTTCAAAAGGAAGGTTGGGATTGATTTTGGGGTCATGGCCAAAACTGTTTAGGAATTAGGGTCTAAAAGGGACGAAAAAACTAGGATTTTCTGCTTTCTGGACAAAAACTTGAGTATAAGTCTATGGATTGCTATTTAACTGTGCCACAAGGTGTTATACCATAAAAGAAAGGTTGGGATTGATTTTGGGGGTTTAGGAAGAAGGGGCCAAAAATACTTTTGTAACACTTGTATAAATTGCTTATTTCTTGACCAATTTCAATGGGTTTTAATTCAAAGTCTTGAATTCTTGGGGTACTTTAATATGCTGAATCTAACTGGTTATTCAGAATTTGGAGCTCTGTTTTTGAATTGATCCAAGTTAAGGTCCAAAGGGTCCAAAATTAAACTTTCTTTGATTTCATCAATAATTGAAATATTGGTGTTCTTTGATGTGCATGGTGAATCTAACCGTGTATTTCGATTTTTGAATTGTTTGGTCACAGTATTCAAGTTGGCCTAAATTGGGGTCCAAAATTAAACTTGGTTTGATGTCATCATAAATTTAATCATTGGTGTTCTTTGATGTGCCCAATCCAACAGTGTTTTAGATTTTTTATTTTGGGCCCGGTTTTCAAAGTTGGTCCAAATTGGGGTCCAAAATTAAACTTTGTTTGATCTCGTCAAAGATTGAATTATTGGTGTTTTTTTATGTGCTTAATCTAACAATGTTTTAAATTTTTGATTGTGAGTCCGTTTCACATTGAGGTCCAAAGTATCCAAAGTTAACCTTAGTTTGATTTTAACAAAATTTGAATTCTTAAGGTTCTTTGATATGCTGAATCTAAGCATATAATTAGATTTTATCATTTGGGGCACAGTTTTCAAGTTGGTTCAAATTGGGGTCCAAAATTAAACTTTGTTTGATTTTAACAAAATATGAATATATGAAGTTCTTTGATATGCTGAATTTAAATGTGTATTTAAATTTTGGATTTTGGGTCCTGTTATCATATTAGTTCACATTGAGGTCCAAAGGGTCCAAAGTTAAAGTTTGTTGGATTTCTTTAAAAATTGAATTCTTTGGGTTCTTTGATTTGTTGATTCCAACCTTATGTTTAGAATTTAGATATTGGACCATAAATGGTAAATATACAATTTTGAATTATTTAACTACTTAGAGAACATTCGTTCTGTGTCAGAAACTATGCTACATCAAGCATTTAATCAGAATCTAAATTTAGAGCTGTATTGCACAATTAACAGAAATTTTAAGTTCAGTCATAGTTAAAAATAGATATAGCATCATATTCTAATTTTAGAAATTATGTATAAATACAGTTTGAAATTTACTGTTCATTATTATGTATTTTGAAAAGAGGTAAGTTTTATAGATTTTTTAAAGACACTATATTAATGATGAACGATATTTTGGAAATTGGTTTTTTTTTTTTGGTAAATTTTGTTAAAACCTACGCAGTAGGTTTGTTTGTTATTCTGTATTAATTAATTTTCAGAATGTTATATACATATTTTTTATGAAGCAAACCCCATTTAAAACTTAGCTTATATTGTCAATTAACAAATTAATCAATTAAATTCTTGATGTACTAAGATAATATGGTCCATTAATAAATAAAAAAAGATAAGTTCTTGGTGTACTCTGGATACATATGCTGAATCTAACCGTGTATTTAGATTTTGGATATTGGACCATAATCAAATTTCATTTTTTTTCAGTTCTTTGACCACATTCGTTCTGTGACAGAAACCTATGATGTCTTAAATATTTAATCACAATCTAAATTCAGAGCTGTATCAAGCTTGAATGTAGTTTCCATACTTTCCCCATCTGTTCAGGGTTCGACCTCTGCGGTCGTATCCAGCTGCGCCTAACGGAACATTTTAATTTATTGGGGGGGGGGGGTTATCTTTAAAGCTATAATAGAAAGAGAAACAGTTAACAGTAAAAATGATCAGCAAACCAAAAGCTCTACAAATTAGTAAGCTTGACCAAAAAGATAGTTTTACCCGTCACTCCGTCATTCCGCAACTAACAGTCATACGGACTATTTTTCTAAAGCCCTTCACATATTAGGCTAATTTTTAGAATATGAGTCAACTATGATGAGTTACAGATCGAGTTTACGTTTGGTCCGCTCTGCTGACTTTTTACTGAAATTATGGCATTTAAACTTTGAAAATTTCATGAAAATAGCAGTTATAATGATTTTTTTTCTAAACGCCTTCACATATTGAGCTTTTTTTTAGTACGTGAGTTCACTATGATGAGTTATAGATCGAGTTTATTTTTGGTTCCGTTCCATTGATTTTTTCCTCACATTACAGGCTTGGGACTTTGAACATTTTGTGAAAACAACAGTTATACCGACTTCTTTTCTAAACGCCTTCGCTTATTGAGCTGGTTTTTAGTATGCGAGTCTACTATGATGAGTTACAGTTTGAGTTTAAATCTGGTTCTGCTTCATTGATTTGTGCCGAAATTATGGGCTTTGGACATTGACAATTCGGTGAAAATAACAGTTATACAGACTTTTATTCTCAAATTTCAACTCCTAAAAATAGCGTCAAGCATTTGTTGCAAGCGGGACCATTTGTGTCGTTCCGACACATCTAGTTTTTCGCTTAGACCTTGAAAACTATAATAGATGGACAAGAACTTTAAAAAAAAAATCAAAACAAGATAAGATGAACATATAAGTCAACATACCCAAAATAGTGAATCCAACACCTTTAAATGACAAGTATCCAAATTTTGCATTTATGGCATTTATCTTGAAATTTATAATACATAGATACTGAAATCAGCAAAGAAACGTTTTATCTACATATAAGTCAACATGACCAAATTATCAATTGACTACTTATAGGAGTTATTGCCCTTAAATGATGAATTTTGTTTTTACGTTTTCTTGCCAATTATTTCTGAAAACTAGAATATATAGAATCAGTTAACAGCAAAAATGCTGGGCAAACGAAGATCTACAAATAAGTCAGTACATTACTGAAATTGTCAATTGACTCCGTATAGCAGTTACAGCCCATGGATGATTATTTTGAACATTTTTGAAATTTTGATAATTTTCATGATAAAGTAGAAACTATAAAGAGTAAAAATAATCTGTATTTTTGTTTGATCTGTTAGCAAATCAGGCTCTAGGGATCCTCTAGTTTTCATTCTTCTATCATTGGTGTCCGGAATGGGGCTATTTATCAGTGACAGTGTATGAAATATAAGGCATTTTTGGTTTAAATAGGGCACTGACAGCTTGGCCTCAATACACAAACGTATCTATTGGTCCTAGTAATTGTACCTAATAACCTCATAATTACACTCTTAGTATCATGTTTGAGTTTTTAATTTATGTATGTTTTTTTCGAATATTAAATGAGAGGTCAACACTATCTTGGTCATGTGCATATGGCAAGTGTCATTTGACTTTGACCACAGCTTTAAAGTTCATTGACCTTGAATGATAAATGAATTAAAGCAGTATTAAAGATATATATAATTCAAATCTCCTGCATGAATTGTATTCACAGGACAAGGTAAAAACTGTTATATTACACAACAGTGCAAACACTGATATATCTTGCCTGCTCTACTGATCATGATGAAATTGGTGTAAGTCTTAAATATAAAGGTTTTGATACAAGTATCACATAAACTTAACATTATCAATGGTCAGTTTTAAATGAAGTCAATGTCAGATGAACTCTGCCAAACAGACATGTACCTCTTACAATCATTACATATACCAAATAAGAGTTAATAATTGCTTTTAGTATCTGAGAAACAGACTTAATCATAAAAACTTAACATTAACCAATGAACCATGAAAAATATGTCAAGGTCAAATAACCCTGCCAGGCAGATATGTATACCTTTCAGTCATTCTATACACAAAGTATAGATGTTCTATTGTCAAAGATACATACTTGTCTAAACATTGAACATTGATCCATGAAATGAAGTCAAGGTCAGTGAAGCCTGTCTGAAGGACATGTAGACATTGCAAGGAACACATAAATCCTTTATAGTTTATTCTATTATTCAAAAAATTAGGTCAAGGACAGTGAACACATGACAGACTGTTTAAGGAATATATGCGTCACAGATGACCATGGATATGTTCCAAGTATTGTAACCAAAATCCTGTCCTTATTTCCTCGATTTTGTCATCTCTGAATCAGTACTTACCATGAGGAACACGACAGAGTACCTGAGATCACCCAATTTTTAGTGGTGCTCAAGTTCTGTCGCTGTTTTAGGTTTCTATGTAGTATTTATGAGTTTTGAATATCCTTTTGGTATCGTCTGCCTTTTTTAAATAAAAACAATTCATGAATTAAATGTTCAAAAGTAGACCATCGTTATATAATTAACA